AGGGACGGGCGCGGCCACAGGGCCTGGGAGTGGCGTGAGGGCCACTAGCGCGATCCGGGGACCGCCCAGGCGGCTCACCCGCCTGCCGACTGCAGGACGGCAGCGCGAGCGCGGCGGCGGCGGGGCGCCGCTCCCTCCTTGGTTCGCACTCGAGCTCTGTGCCTAACGCGGCAACTTCCGGACTCCCGGGTAGGGAGGAGCCCCGGGTCAGCAATGCCAACTGTCCTAACACCGAACACACGGCGAGTGTGGAAAAAGCGGTCGGCCCAGGGTTCCCTCCCCTCCCTTGGGGTGCATCTGCTCAAACTCTTCCAGTCCCTCAAGCAGAAATGGTGTGGGATCTGGGCCAGAGCCCTCTTGCAGTGACTCAAAGCCGCCAGCCGTACTGGAAGGACAGGGTGGATGGCCCTTAGCCTCCTCTCCCTTCTGAACTGATTCACACCACCCCAGTGGCTTCAGTCCCGGGTGCTGTCATCTTTTCCCTGTGACTCCCCTCTGCTTTGCTTCTCATACTCCCTCTGGTTTTCCTGCCTCCCTCTTCCGCGGTGGGATGCAAAGCTGGACCAAGGCCTCCAGGGTAAGTGACCCAAACTCCAAACCAGCAGAGGCCATGGCATGCAGGGGTGGGGGAACTTTCCCAGGGATGAGCTTTTTGCTTAACCTGCCCTTCACCCCCTACTTCCCCAGCTCCCCAGTCTCAGATGAGGGGGAACAGGGCCAAAGATTGATAGATCTGGAGAGGCAAGGGCCTCTTCCAGGACTGGGACACTGCAGTGAGGCACTGTGAGGCAACCAACAGTAGTGAGGCTAAACCACTGTGTCCCTGCCCTGGTTGCCCCAGTTCCAGCAGGTGATGCCGGCGGCCCAGATTGAGAAGTGGAAGCAGACAAACCTTTCATCCTGAGGCACCCTCCCCCCACCCAGAAACACTTACAATCCCACTGGAAGTTCTAGGCTTTGGTAGGGCCTCATGTGGGCATGGGAAGGAGCCCCTGGACTCCAGACAGAGCCTCTCAGATGTGACACAGTGCTTCTAGGAGCTCAAATTCTGGGGACTGCCAGAGGAGTGGGAGCTCTGACAGGAGGAAGAAAAGCACCCAGCAAACACAGTGGTCCTGTCTGACCCCCTCCTGCTTCCCCTTCTAGCAGTTTCCTTGGGGAGAGAGGACCTGCTGTCTGCCCCAGGACCCCCACCTCACCACTGTCAGCAGGTAGGGGAGACCAGGTAGCCACAGCAGCACCATTCACAACTGCATGTCGTGGTAGATGTCAGCCCCCGAGGCCTTCGGCCAGATGGTTACCCACTCACCGCACACGCTACTGTGCCGGCTGCTTTCGGCCTGGCCAACGACGCTCAAACACCCTGATGGCCTCTCAGATGTGGCCCAAGCCGATGTTTCAGCACCCAGCTCTCAGCAGGCTGGTCTGCCATCCCCATGCAGCCTTTCAGAGATTTCATCCTGGGTGCGGGATCCCTGTGGCCCCTCTGTGTCTGTGTCAGTCGAAGCCCGTGGGGAACAGGCTAGTGGTGACAGGGTTGGGGGTGGCTCTCCCAAATCCCTTGGTATCAGGACATTTCTGCATGTTCACTGTACTAGAAAAGGCCAGGGAAAGCAGCAGGTAGCAGCAGTCTGAAAGGGAACTCCTCTCTGTAGATGGCCCCTCTGGGTGAGGGATGGGAAACTTGAGGCAGGTATGCTGGGGAAGGGGACAGCCAAATGGCACTCAAGGGCCAGCACTAGGCATTGCCTTTCTGTTCCTGGATTTGGTGCTAGGGGTCTGCTAGGTCTCCCGGTAGTGGGCTTCCAGATCCCCTCGCTCCTGGACTCACAGCTGCTCGCCCTTACCAGCCACCTTTCTGTGTCCCTTCTCTCCTCAGGAAGAGCTCTGCCATCAAAGAACACAGCACAGGGCCAGGCCCGGCCTATGGACCCTTCTCCAGACAACCCGACGGCACCAGTGGGGCTGCTCTCCTAAGCCACAGAGGGCCTGGGCACACGGTCCTCTGGGAGGAGCCATGGTGTTTAGGAGGGACAGGGGCAACTCCCAGTGGTGGCCTGGACGGGGAGGGGGGGGAGGTTGCCCTGGCCCCCTAGGCATGTTCAGGGCTTTCTTGCTACTTGTCAGCCTGCCTTTGGGAGCCCAGGGAATAGCCAGTGCCAACCTCAGCACAGCTCTGGGCCATACTGTGCCACGGACAGGGGGCCAGTACTTGAGCATTGGGGATGGCTCTGTGATGGAGTTTGAGTTCCCAGAGGAGAGCGAGGGCATCATTGTGATCTCGAGCCAGTACCCAGGCCAGGGCAACAGGACAGGGCCTGGCCCCATGCTGAGGGTCACCTCCTTGGACACAGAGGTGCTGACCATCAAGAATGTGAGTGCCATAACCTGGGGCGGTGGGGGCGGCTTTGTGGTGAGCATCCACTCGGGCCTGCCTGGGCTGGCCCCACTCCACATCCAGCTCATGGACCCCCACGAGGCCCCACCCATGCTAATTGAGGAACGGAGAGATTTCTGCATCAAGGTCTCACCTGCTGAAGACACCCCCACCACCCTTGGCACCGACTTGGTCCACTTCTCAGAGAACCCAATACTCTACTTGCTCCTGCCTCTTATCTTTGTCAACAAGTGTTCATTTGGGTGCAAAGTAGAACTCGAGGTTCTGAAGGGGCTCCTGCAGAGCCCCCAGCCCATGCTGCTGGGCCTCCTAGGCCAGTTCCTGGTCATGCCCTTCTATGCTTTCCTGATGGCCAAGGTCTTCATGCTGCCCAAGGCCCTGGCTCTAGGCCTCATCATCACCTGCTCGGCGCCCGGCGGCGGGGGGAGCTACCTCTTCAGCCTCCTCCTTGGAGGGGACGTCACCCTGGCCATTTCCATGACTTTCATCTCAACAGTGGCTGCCACCGGTTTCCTGCCATTGTCCTCAGCCATCTACAGCCGCCTGCTCAGCATCCATGAAACACTCCACGTGCCCATCTCCAAGATCCTGGGGACCCTGCTGTTCATCGCCATCCCCATAGCAGCAGGCGTGGTGATCAAGTCCAAGCTCCCCAAGTTCTCCCAGTTGCTGCTGCAGGTCATCAAGCCCTTCAGCTTTGTGCTTCTCCTGGGTGGCCTCTTCCTGGCCTACCGCATGGGGGTCTTCATCCTGGCAGGCGTCAGGCTGCCCATCGTGCTGGTGGGCCTCACAGTGCCCCTGGTTGGCCTCCTGGTGGGCTACTGCCTGGCCACATGCCTGAAGCTGCCAGTGGCCCAGCGGCGGACGGTCAGCATTGAGGTAGGGGTACAGAACAGCCTGCTGGCCTTGGCCATGCTGCAACTGTCCCTCCGTCGCCTTCAAGCAGACTACGCCTCCCAGGCCCCCTTCATTGTAGCACTAAGCGGCACCTCAGAAATGCTGGCCTTGGTCATTGGCCACTTCATCTATAGCAGCCTGTGCCCAGTCCCCTGAGGCCCCTGGGTCAAGCTTTCACCACCCTTCGCCCCCACCCTCCACCCACTGTACCCACAGTTCTTGTGTACCAAAGGCCTTCAGCTCTCATGCACTATGCACTCAGAAAAAAAATCCAGGCTTATTTTTTTTACTGGTTTTTTATTCTCCAGCTTTCAGTGCCAAAGAGGCCATGCTGAGTTAGGTAGGTGGGCACTGCTCAGAAAATATATTTCAATAAAAGAGAGAAGCAAGCTTGGGTGCCTTCCAGTCTTTGCCCTTAGGGGCCTGGGGGTGGGGTGGGGTAGGAAGGGTGTGGCTGGGTAGATGTGGGCCAGGTTGGAGGACTGGCTTGTGTGACGATGGTGACCTCTGCACAGACTCTCTCAACCCTCCTTCCCCATGCATCCCCTGTTAAACGTGGTCCCTGCTGTTCTAGAATGAGCGTGGGAGGATGAGGGCAGAGGCCGGGCTCCCCAGCCAGCTCTCAAGCTCAGTTGATTTTCTGCAGCCAGGCCAGAAGAGAGGAGGCAGAAGGCCCTCGGGCAGTGGGGCACTGGGCCATTACGTGGACTCCTGAGCGAGAGAAGCAGGGTTTGCACGACTTGCCCCACCAGTCCGCTGGGGGCGACGGTACTCCTGACCCCTCCTCCGTCCTCCCCAAGCCCCAGCTCCCACAGGAAGCCAACCTGGCCCAGCTCGCTCCTCCTCCCTCTCGTGGCGGGCTTCCAGGCACCGTCGCCGTAGCGAAATCTGTCAGTCCGCGCGGGCCCTGTGCGTTCACGAGGCGGGACCCCAAGGTGACTCCTCCCGGGCCGACAGGGGTGGGCCGGGCAGCGCGGGAAGGGGGCGGGGCCTGGGCGCGCCCCCCGCGC